GGAAAATATATTGGATTTCAGGGGGGAAATAAAGCTTCGAGAACTTTTGTGGCCTCATTATATTTTAGTATTGAGCAACCAAGGAACTTTTGGGATCACCAGGTGGTCAATATGACCTCATTATTTAGGGGTGGATTTGCATATCTTTGGCCCCACATGTGTTAACTCTTGACCCCAGCTGTGAGACACAAGGGTTTCTTTCTATGGCACAGAGCCTGACTTCCTTTCTTGGAATATAGTGAGAAACAACAAAGAGAGGAGAGCTCTTCCAGGGCATAGAAAAGCCAGGGAGGCAGGCTGGATCCCTGTTAGACGGCAAACAAGTTCCTCTAAGCCCCAGGGCAGGGATCTTGAGTCTGTTCCTTCTCCCTTATTATATAAAAAGACAAAATGGACATTGCATGTATCAATATGTACACTTTGTTGGCCTGCAACTTGTATTATGGATGTTGCAAAAAATAAGGAATGCATAAGCTGTCAGCAAGACAGACAGAATACTACGTATGAGAAGACCAGGATATGTTTTTCTAAAAATACTTTTTAATTAGGCACCTTGGACTTGCATGATTACATTCCTGCCATTTCATCCACACTTGTATTAGATCCTTATATATTATTCTACTCTTCAACTGAAGTCAACAAGAGGACAATAGTTAAGGATCACAGAATCCCAATCCAGCCAGTGAGGAAATGTCAGTTAGGTCATTCAAACGCACTGGACGGTAATGTTAAGTCACTATTGTCCATTTCTGGCCTATTAGTAAAGTGCATGCCGGCATGCGTTGATGGAGTAATAGGTTATTCTTGTATGAAGGAAAGGCTAAGAGAATGTTAAACAGACTCACCAGACAGAACCAGAAAACCGTGTTTGAAGTCTGGCTATTCCTTGCTTCTCACTAACTATGTAATCTGGGGCAGCTCAGGCAGTGCATCTCAAGTGTTATTTATCACCTATAAGATGAAAATGATAATAAAACTTTTCCCACCTTCCATATGTGTTCTTAATAGATTTAAATAAAATAACACGAGAAACTGCTTTATAAACTACAATGTGCTGTCCATTAATTTTTTTATGACTTTCTAGATTTGGATGCTTGTTTCTAAGTGCCAAGGGATATTTGTTTATGAAGTCCACAGACTATTTTTAAAAGACATCATATTCAATAGTTTCAACCTATTGACCTATTTAATTACATAACAGATCAATTCTACTAACAAAACCAGTATAGTTTCTGCTTTGTTTTTCTTCTAGCACTGCTGAGATTTTTTTAGACACTGTATTGTAGTTAGCAGAGAAGTAATAGGGGACAAGGATGAGAGTAGATAAATTTGGAAAGTTAATGAAGTTAGTGAATACGCCCTAACATGATAATTAGTCCCTGAATAAGAATAGTATTATTAAAAATTAACAAGACTATCATCAATAATCTTATTCAGATCTTGATACTTTCTAATCACAATGCAGAAGAATAGAGAACACATATAATAAATAATATTCTAATGTTTTCTTTAAATGTAGTAAATTTTGTATGAAGCTAGGGCAATATGTGGTTTTAAAATAACAGCCGTTTCATGACTTTTTTAAAAAAATGGTTATGCTCCAGTACATTTAGCTAAGAAAACAACTCTGATAATGCCTTGACTCCCACTTGCATTTACTGCTAAGCCAGCTAAGTCCAGAGAGACTGAATCTTATCACATCTGTGTCTGGCACCACCTTACTCACCTAGGCAAAGAAAAAAGAAAACCTCAGGAAAACATTCACTTGTTTCCCTCACCCCGCAGTGTGGGGCACAGATGCCCTGGACCCCTGCCTCTACTGCTCTGGCTGCCTTTGGATATAGATCTGAAACTTCCAAATTCAAGAGAGTCCTGCTTTTTAAAGACCAACAAAGAGAGGGAACACTGACAAAAAAAAAAAAAAAAAAAAAAAAAAAAATCCTATGAATAGGAGAATTATAAATAATGGCATAATTTAAATCTGAATAAAATAAGGAGCCAGAGTGCAAACAACCAGTTTTCCTCCCAAGTTCCTGAGGTCTGGGAAAGTTATTCTTCTAAAACTGTTAAGTATGCATGTGGGGAGAGGGGAGTGGCAAGGCGGGTGTTAGGTGTATTTGCATACTCACAATCTTGAAATACAACAAATATGGGAAAGCAATTATTCTAGTATATAAGGAAAAAATAGATGATTTTTACAAAATAACTATACTGGTGGAAATAAAGGTATTTAATTGATTAGTTTTGAAATGCATTTCATGGATGAGTAGGACCTCTGGTGTTAAACTAGAGAAAGTTCACAACTTATATATCTTACTGGCAGAAAGAAGCAAATGTAATTTTCCAAAAGCTTATCATTGGAGGTTGTGGGCCATTGTTTTGCGACCTTTCCTTCAACCCTTCTTCATTTCCTCCCTCTCTCCTTGCCTCCTCACTCTCACAAATATAAATGAGTGCCTATTAGGTGCTAGGCACTGTCCACATGGAAGAATATCGTCTTTGTTGTTCAGATTGCTTAACTTTACATATTACATGTATTTCTGTAATCCTATATGGGGGGGGAGAGCAAGATTACAATATACATATAGCATACATATTTTAAATGTTCATATCTTAGCTTAAAATTCATTTGTTAATTTTATAAAGAAAAGAATGATGAAAACAAGAACCTCTTAAGTGTGCCCCATGTCATAACCAGGTAGTGTAAGATGTCCCAAACAATAAAGTCAGAAGGATTCAGACAAAAAAATGAAACATAAAATTGCTAGGACATCTTTTTTTTTTTTTTTTTAATTTATTGATTCTAGAAAGGAAAGAAGAGGGAGAGAGAAAGAAAGACCAATAATGAGAGAGAATCATTGATCTGCAGCCTCTGCATGGCCACATTGGGGATGGAGCCTGGAACCCAGGTATATGCCCTAACCAGGAATCGATCCATGACGTCCTGGTTCATAGGTCGATGCCCAACCACTGAGCAATGCTGTCTCGGCTGCTGGGACATCTTGTGAATTTTTCATCATATTAACAGAGGGTTATCAAACTCCCCAAATGCAGACATCTATTAGCAAGATGATTTTTTGAGTGTGTGTGATCATATGATTCCTGAAAACAGAAAGGTAAATATCTAATGGACTTTTCTCCCCCTCCAATCACAGTGGGTTTCACATTATTTCATGAGCTTTTTCAAAATATTGGTTAGATGGAAGCATTGGTAATCTGAGTTTTGCTATTCTTACAGTTCCTCAAGCTGTGGTGCAAATCTTCCTTTCTTCCTTACCTTGTGCATTCCATCCTTCTCCTGAGCCCCCTTTGTGACAGTGGGAATCCCACACATAATGCCATGTATTTCAGTCAACACTCTTAGTTTCTAGATGATTAATGGCATTGCATCTAATGCCATCCTAAGGCATGGAAATATACATGAAAAAAGATACAATATTTTTCCCTGTTATTTTGTTTATGGAACCTCTTTGAAAGCCTTGACTTTGCTAAGGCATTTTTAATTGAGAAAGTCAGTTCAACACAGAGGGTGCAGCCAATTACCTTTCTTAGGCTATTTTGTTAACTCTGGAAACGTATCTAATGTAATATCGGAAACAATATTTACATATTTTGTGGGTGGTCTATGTGATTTTCCATCTAAATTTACAAAAAGCTAATTAACTTTCATGAAAACATTTCTTTGAAGTATTTAGATTTGTAAGGATAAATGACACTTCTTCACTCAGTCAGCATCAGAGCATCTAGAAGGCAGCTGTATAATTTGTTATAAAGTGAAAATAAATGCGATGAATATTGTGCTTGAGTTCGATTTTGTTTCACACCAGGTGAATAACTTTTATTTGGAAGTTTTCATTGTAATTCCAAATTACTCATTAGAATTTTTTTCCTTTTCTTTTTTAAAAGAATTGTTTTTAATAGTCATTCTCACCTCACAATTCATGCAGTATCTACTCAGCCACCCCAAAGATTCAATGAGCTTCATAATAACAAACAAATTCTATTATACTGTCAAAAATCCTAATAGATTATAAAAATGAAACGCTGTCTCCAATTTTTAGCCATATTAATTCTATTCTTGACTATTGAGAAACTCAAGTTCTGACCCTATTTATTATGTCAGGTTGAGGACTGTGGAAATAAAAGCAAGCCTCCCCCCTCCCCTTTCTTCTGGATGTTTTTATTTGCACGTACAAAAAAAAAAATAAAACTATTTAAGCCATGTTCAAAGGATACCCTAAAATGAATTATTCACATGGCATTGAAAAGACACACACACACACACACACACACACACACACACACACACACACACGGAGCTAGCTGGTAAGCGGTAAGCAACTTCAGGGCAGGTGCAGTGCGAGTAGAATATCAGGAAATTGGATCCAGCTGAGAATTCCAATTACCTAATGAGGGTGATCTGCTTTCACTCTTAATTTCTTGGTGTCTCTAATTCATTATCATCTGTAGCATAAAAATAATGCTTTAAAATCGCACTTAAAAATGGAAACAAATATTCAGCTGGCCGATTTCTTTCCTTTGGGCGGAGGAGACGGAAATTTCAAGTGACAAAGAAATACAAACGATAAAGACTTAAGATGGAGCAGTAACAAAGAATCCTCGAAAGGGTCCGCCGCCGCTGCTTTGTTCTGGCACATTGCTTCAGAGAAGGACACATCACAGGGAATTTGTGAAACACAAAATGCAATTTTTATTGGTTTATAGGGGGAGTGAAATAATGACACCTAACTCTAGAAAAAGGAAAAAAAACACACAACAACAAACAAACAAAAAACCCAGCACCGTCGTCCTCGGGCAGCGATTAGTCAGCCCAAGTTACCGTTATTAGTAATTTCCCAGCCAGGCTCAGACTAGCGGGGTGAATCAGCCCGCGCCAGGCCCCTCTCTCTCTCGCCCGCCCAGCAGCCAGGGCTTGGCCAGGGAAGATGCTCGGGGTTGGCGCATAGGTGACCCGCCTTCGCTTTGTGTCCCCGCTGCAGGTGGGGCAGAGGAAGAGGATCGGAGGAGGAGGAGGAGCAGGCGGCCGGCGGTCGCTGAGCAGCAGCCCCCCAGACCCTCGAGCAAGCATCCTTTCTAGGAGCCGGAGGAACCCACGGACCTCCGCGCGGGGGTGGCCGGAGGGCCTGTGCGCCGGAGAGCCCGGCGGCCGGCGGCCGGGGGCGCCCGCCCCTCATGTTCCGCAGGAGGCGCAAATGTGAGCAGGCGGTGAGCGGGGAAAGCCCTCCGCCCCCGCCAGGGGGACCCGGGAAGCCCGCGCGGGCTCCTCCCGCGGTTGGCCGGGATCCCCCTCTCCGGCCCCGCCCCCTCCTCCCGGGCCCGTGTGTCAGACCGTTAACCCTCCCTGCGCCGCGGAGCGCTGGGGCGAGCTCCGCGCAGCCCATGCCGACTCCAGCGCGCTGGCGCCCAGCGGCCGGGCAAGATCGCGCTGATTTTAAGGACAATCAGCATGTTCCCGAGCCAAACTTTTTCTCTCCAAAGCCGGGCCCCACACTTATTTCCCCCATTCTCTGCGGGACGGATGGGAGAGGTGGGTGTGGAGCGAGGGGGCTGCAGTTCTGCAGCGGGTTTGGGGCGTGCCTGGCGGCCCCGCACCGTCCCCGCGCCTGGCCCTTTGCCGCTGGCCCAGCGCGCTGCAGTCCCCGGCGGGCGCAAGGGATCCAGACCGCACGCCCCGGCAGTAGTTAGGTGGAGGAGAAGGGGGGCGCGATGTGGAAGGAAGGGGGGGACACCCCTTTCTTTCCCCCTACCCCTGCAGCCTGGCTGCCCTGCCAGGGGCTCCCCATCCTCAGCGGTGCTCACTGGCGCTCCCCATCGGCAGGTGGCATCCTCGCCCTCACCTTGTCCTGCGCGCACCCTTGGATTTTTTCACCCTGCAGATCCCTCTCCCCATGTAACCCCCTCTCTCTCACACACGCTCCCCTAAGCCGCGCGCGCCGCAAACTCGGTCTCGGTCCCCGCAGGTGATGTCATGCCCATTGTTTTGGTGCGCCCAGCCAATCGGACTCGCCGCCTGGATTCTACCGGAGCCGGCATGGGCCCTTCCTCGCACCAGCAGCAGCAGGAGTCCCCGCTCCCGACCATAACGCATTGCGCAGGGTGCACCACCGCCTGGTCCCCCTGCAGCTTTAATAGCCCCGACATGGAAACCCCACTGCAGTTTCCGCGCGGCTTCTTCCCCGAGCAGCCGCCGCCGCCGCCGCGCGCCGCACACCTGCATTGCCAGCCGCCGAGCCAGGACAAGCCGTGCCCGCCCTTCGCGCCCCTCCCGCACGCACCCCACCACCCGCACCCCCTTGCGCACCAGCAGCCGGGGAGCGGCGGCAGCAGCCCATGCCTCCGGTGCAACAGCTGCGCCTCCTCCGGTGCCCCCGGGGCGGGGGCGGGGGCGGGGGATAACCTGTCCCTGCTGCTCCGCACCTCCTCTCCCGGCGGCGGCGCCTTCCGGACCCGCACCTCCTCGCCGCTGTCGGGCTCATCGTGCTGCTGCTGCTCGTCGTCGCGCCGGGGCAGCCAGCTCAATGTGAGCGAGCTGACTCCGTCCAGCCATGCCAGTGCGCTCCGGCAGCAGCAGCCCGCGCCCGCCTCCCAGTACCACCAGTGCCACAGCCTGCAGCCCGCCGCCAGCCCCACGGGCAGCCTGGGCAGCCTGGGCTCCGGGCCCCCGCTCTCGCACCACCACCACCACCCCCACCACCACCCCCACTTGGCGCACCACCAGCACCACCAGCCCCAGGCGCGCCGCGAGAGCAACCCCTTCACCGAAATAGCCATGAGCAGCTGCAGGTACAACGGGGGCGTCATGCGGCCGCTGAGCAACTTGAGCGCGTCCCGCCGGAACCTGCACGAGATGGACTCGGAGGCGCAGCCCCTCCAGCCGCCCGCGGCCGTCGGAGGAGGTGGTGGCGGTGGTGGCGGCGCGTCCTCTCCGTCCGCGGTCGCCGCCGCGGCAGCAGCTTCGTCCTCGGCCCCCGAGATCGTGGTGTCCAAGCCGGAGCACAACAACTCCAACAACCTGGCGCTCTATGGCACCGGCGGCGGCGGCAGCACGGGCGGCGGCGGCGGCGGCGGCGGCAGCGGGCATGGCAGCAGCAGCGGCACCAAGTCCAGCAAAAAGAAGAACCAGAACATCGGCTACAAGCTGGGCCACCGGCGCGCCCTCTTCGAGAAGCGCAAGCGTCTCAGCGACTACGCGCTCATCTTCGGCATGTTCGGCATCGTGGTCATGGTCATTGAGACCGAGCTGTCGTGGGGCGCCTACAACAAGGTACGCGCCCCGACCCTCTCCCTGCCCACTCACCCACCCTTCCCGGGGGCTGCAGAGTGGGATGCCAGCTGGTGAGGGTTGGCACTGGCGGGGTCTCCCTGCCTGCCAGTGGCGAGCTTTCCCGGGACAGTCGGAGGGCAGTGCCGCTGGGACAGGGAACACGGCGGCTCAGGAGCGCACGCTGAGTCCGCAAGGCAACTCTGGAGAGGAAGCCTTTCGCTGCGCAAAGTTGTGGAGACAGTGAGTGCCCAGCGCGTCTGGGTAGATTAACTCAGGGGTTCCAGGAGTGTGTGGGAAAGCATGCTTTCTTCCTCCGGATTCAGGAGGCCCTTTCCACCCGGAGAGCTCAAACGCATAACTTCTCTCCGGTTCCTAGAGCTAGGTGGTCACCTGCCTTCCCAGCTCTCCTCTCCTCTCCTCTCGCTTGCCTTTGAGGCTAAGTGATGTGACAGATCCTAGGGCCAAGCTGGGGGTCCCTCAAACCCAGCTGGATGTTCAGGCCCACTTGGTGGGGCACTCGCTGACCCTCCCAACCACCCCTCACCACTCGGGCCCAGGGTGGTTGAAAGTGCTTCTTTCCTAAAAGTGCTTCTGTCTGACTGTGTTGCAGGCGTCGCTGTATTCCTTAGCTCTGAAATGCCTTATCAGTCTCTCCACGATCATTCTGCTCGGTCTGATCATCGTGTACCACGCCAGGGAAATACAGGTAACTTAGGTTCTGCTGTTTATGAATGGCCCAGAGTCATGCCTCCAGCCTGGAGAAGCTCAAGGCAGCAGAGCTTTTTCCCCAAGCCTCGTGTCCTTGCTTGAGGTTACAGAAGCAGCGTGCTGCATTCTTACCTTCCTGTTCCTTCAAGAAGTTAAAAACAAAACACAGTGTAGCATGTAAGCAGGCAGTCATTTCTGGGATGTATTTATCCAGCCCTTCAGATTTCCCCCTGTCTTCCTGCAGGCTATCTATCCACTCTTGCACTTCTTGTCTTTAAGGTCAACTATGCACTAGCCTTGCTTTGAAGGGTAAAGGAGTGTTCTTGTTTGATACCTCCGCTTCCTAGTGGTGCCTCATTATGGAAGATTACATCCATTTGGATCATCTCCTCTGATATAGCCTAGAGAAGAAAATAGGCTGGTGATAGTCCTAGCTAATGTATATAAATAAGACATGAGAGATCTCTAACTCTTTCTATATCCCCTCCATCATTTTAAAAAATAGTTATAAGTTTTGAATACAAATTCTGTATCTATGATATGTGATAGATCCTGAGCTAGAATCATTACATCACTTTTCAAAAATGCAGTCAAGAGCAAAGGCTACCGCTCTTGTGAGCAGTCTTGTTAGGAAAATGTTTTAAATGCAGCCAGGAGCTCTATATTGTTAGATTTGGCTGTTGCTGACAACTTCAGAATCATTCTATATAAAATTTATGTGTTGTATTTTGAGCAGTTTACTTTGCTGTAGCCTTTAGTCAAAGATACATTAAGATTTGTGAACTAAAATAGAGTTTTCAAAAATGAGGAGTGATTGGGCTTTTCCAGTGTAGAATTTACACTCTCATATATTTCCTGATATTTTTGGAGCAGTTGTGAGACATTTGGTGGAACTATTAAAATCACCATATTTAACCTGCTGTCTTTTAGGAGTGGCCTTTGACTTTAAAACCTTGTACAGAACATGCCATTTAGGGAACTTAGCATTAATTAGAGATTAAATTAATTTTACGTTAGTAATTAGCAAACACACTCATTATGGAAGAACCCAATTTTAACAGTTGTCCAAACAAAATAAAAATGCACATGACCCCAAAGGAGGAGGGGGAAGTTACTTCATTTTGTATTCAAATCTGTAAAAACTTTGAAAGTGTGATTTTGAAGAAATGAGGTTAGAGAAGAAAATTAGAGGATATTTAGAGTAAGTAGTAACACTGCACTGGCAAAACCAGGCAAATACATATCTGAACTCTTTAAAACTTAATAACTTACATAGATCTCTCTTTAATTAGGTACTAATGGTCATAGGCTTTGGAGATTCAAACGTTTTAAAGTGATACTAAAATGTAATTTAAACATTATGAGTGTGTCTTTTCATTTTGGCTCGAAGAGTAGACAGAGCTGGAAGGAACAAAATAGATCTAAGGATTCTTTTGACTCAATTTTCAGACAAGGACCTGAAGTCAGAAGAGGTGAGTAGCTTTCTGGATCACACAGCTAGACTGTACAGAGCGTGACCAGGCCCTGTCCTCCGAGCGTGGAGTCCAGAATGCTTCCTGCTCTCCCTGCTGCATTCCGCTACTGCTTGCCAGCAGCCCTGAATGTGGACATTTCATTTGGTTTCTCTCTACATCCAAATGTTTGGTATATGAAGAGAGTTAAACTTAAAAGATTATTATAGAACATCTTAGGTATTTTTAAAAATCAAGTAACTTTTTTTTCTCTTGGAGATCAGAGTGATTTTACTCAGTTCACTCTAGAAAGAAACCTTGCCATTTGCTGTTGTTGTTTTTACTTTTTTAAAAACAATATATATTTTATTGATTTTTTACAGAGAGGAAGAGAGAGGGATAGAGAGTTAGAAACATCGATGAGAGAGAGACATCTATTAGCTGCCTCTTGCACATCCCCCAACCAAGGTACGTGCCCTTGACCAGAATCGAACCTGGGACCTTTCAGTCTGCAGGCCGACGCTCTATCCACTGAGCCAAACCGATTTTGGATATTTTTACTTTTTAATAAACATTAGCCTTCCTATTACTACCTGTTCCTTCTGAAAAGCACACAGCTACATAAGCATTCATCAGGGAGGACACTTGATGGTATTGACATAAAAAAAACAAGTGTCTTCCTAAAGACTGACTTTTTAAGAATTATTGAGATATTTTTGAAATAACATAGGAGTGTGAGAGGAGCTACCAAATGTTAATTACACATTGTAAAAAAAATATTTGATACCATGTTAGAGCTCTTGAAACTTACAGAAAATAATAAAATATCGGAAATCATATTTTTATAGATTATTGAAAGAATTCTACTCATTGGCTAATTTTGAGGACAATTTCTTGAAAGAATTCTACTCGCTGGCTAATTCTGAGGACAATTTCTGTTAGAAAAATGCATAGATATGTTGGTTATGTATGGCATGAGTGAGAAAAATGAAGGTAAGCACAGCGAGCTTCTCTACTGTTGGGGTCATAAAACATTACAAAATGTTAGATTTTTAAAATTGGGTTTATTTTATATGACATGGCTTCTGTACAAATAATCACACTTAATAGAATTTTAAAGTACATGCTTGTGTAAGATCAGTTGTTTTGGATATAGATTTTTACATTCAGTATTTTATTTAGAGCAGTGATTTTCAACCTTTTCTATCTCATGGCACACATAAACTACTAAAATTTTGCAGCACACTAGATTATATATATATAGCCGATCTGACAAAAAATAGGTAGTTTTGATTCATTCACACTGGATGGCTATAGTTGTGTTGGCTGTTGTCATAGTTTTTGTTTGGCAATCTAAGGAAAATCGGTCAGTGGTCCTGACTAAATAGTTAGGCATTGCATGTTTCAAAAATTCTTACAGCAGTTGAAAATTTCTGATCTAGAAGGATTTTTTTAGGTTGAAACTCTATATTATTACCTAAAATGCTTAAGAAAACAAAAATAAATAGAAATAGACTGCATGAATGTGAAGATTTTGACCTAGAAGTCAAGAATCAGAAAAATAACACAGGATTGTTCTAATTGAGTCAGAGATAGAGTTGGTGGTACTGCCCAAATATTGTACTTCTGAAGCTCAGTGAAACCAAGCTTTCAACTTAGTTTTTACTTATAGATGTCACTGCTCTAAGTTCTTTCATAACTCTTAAGCAAATAGGCAATCTCAGTTTACTAGTAAGAATTCTTAATATATTTATTAGCTTTGAGTTAAGGAACTAAATGCAGATCTTATGTTGCCATTCAGAGCATACCCTTGGATGTAGCATGTGTCTAAAATGGCTTTTCCCCCCCCTTTTAGCTTATCAGCATGATGGTGGGAGAGACCTAACTAGTGTCGGTTTCTGTTACATTCTATGATTTCTCACTGCATTCAGGAAAAGTAAATGTTATAGCCAACATTCTGGCTCTGTATATCAAAATTGATTAACAAGTCATGGTAAGACCTTGACATTTCCAAGGAGAACCTTAGAAAGCAAGTCACAGTGACCTTTTGTAGAATGTTTATATACACACTGACAGAATAAGTTGGTTCAGGTGAGTCATGGACGAAAGTGCCTGAATTAATATAGTGTAATGAAGAGCAGACCTCAGTATATTTCAGTTTGGTGTCATTTTTCAGAACCACAGACAGCTCAATGCATCAAGCTATAGCTTGTTCATTTAATTGATTACTTATATACCCCTCCAATCAAAAATGAAATCACTTTTTTTTTATCAGAAGGTTAACATAAAATCAGATTTAATGGGCAGAGTTTTCAGCTGCAAAGATATTAGACTTTTTCAAATAGAAATTTGGCTGTACTTCATATAGTCTTCAGCAAAGCACCGCCACCCCCCCCCCCAAAAAAAAAAAGTATAAATAAAATAACCTAGGTAAATGTCTATCTGTGTATGACAACCCTCTGACAAAGGAAAGATACTATAAGCTAGTTACTATCACTTGATACTAATTAATAGGGGGAAAAACCCCAGAGGCATGATATCCCACGATTTTTCTTCTTTGTCTGTCTCTCCCCCCACCCCTCCCACCACTTTTTCTGTGGGGTTGGAAGTAGTTCTTTGATGGAATAAATACTAAACAAAGTTCACATCTCTTTAAGGTTTTCAACATGAAATATTTTGTAGATTTCACTTCATCTTTTCAACTTTAACGTGTTCTAATTCTCCTTGGGAAGTAGTTTTAGTTGAAAGAGCTGTTTGGTATTCTGAGTTAAGCAAACACAAGATTCTAGGTTGGAAAAGAAAGCTCTTTGGAGTCTGATCTTTCTGGTCCTGGTGGGATTTGGAAAAATGGAAAGTACTATATTTTAAAGTTGAAAACATTTTTTGTTTGATTTCCTTTTTTGTAATAATATAATTATATAATAAATAGCATTAGAGGAAACACTCATTTTTCTTTGGTATCATTTGCAGTGGAATAACTCTACTCATTCTCTTTCAAGGTAACTTTTCAGAGATGGACAATATAGAAGTAAAACTGGAAGATCATAAATTAAAATTTCTCTTTGCTTCTGCATCTAGGTCACACAAAGGATGCTCTCTTTCCCACTCCTCAGAGAGAAAGTAGACACTTCCAGACCATACAGAATATGTTGCATATGGTCATTTTTTTAATTAATGGGATAATAATAAATACACACAGTAAAAACAACAGATAGTACAGAAGAGTTTAAAATAAGTGGTATATTCAGATTCTCCATACCTCAGTCCTGTTTCTTAGGAACAACCATTTTGAAGATTTTTTCATATGTGCTTCCAGAGTTTTCAAGAATGAACACTTAGGTGTGTTGAGATAACACACATGCTTTTATTTCATAATATATCTTGGAGGTTTTCCTCATCAGCGCATAGAAATCAGTCTCATTCTTTTGTAGCAGCAGCATATTATACCATGATGGATGTACTGTGGTTTGCTGATAGGTGCTTTGAGTTTTCTAGGTGTTTGCTTTTATAAGCAACACTAAAAATGAACACCGTGGTATACTTATTT